TCTGTCCCACGTCCTCTGCCCCACGTCCTCTGCTCCAGGTCCTCTGCCCTACGTCCTCTGCCCCAGGTCCTCTGTCCCCCAGGTCCTCTGCCCCATGTCCTCTGCCCCAGGTCCTCTGCCCCAGGTCCTCTGCCCCAGGTCCTCTCTTGTGCTGAGAACAGCGAAGCCCTTCAGCATCAGGGCCAGCAACACCCACTGAGGGCTGTCCCCCGAGGGCCAGGAAGGAGCTGCTTCCTATGGGGAGCTGCAGAGAGGGTTGCCACCAGCCAGAATGGGCAGAAGCTGGACTCTGAAACTCAGGGCCCCGCTGGGTGGAGGCCGTCCCTGCCTGGCAGCCTTCCTGCCTCTGGTGGACTCCTGCCGCCTGTCCCAGCCCCCGCTGCCTCCTCAGGGCAGTCCTGAKCGCCGCCCCTGATCACTGTACCCTCGGGGAGTCTCATTTTCTTCTTCACCCGAATCATGACTCAGAGTCATTTCTTCTATTTATTTATCTTCCTGTTGCCTGTCCCTCCTGTTAGGACGGAAGTTCCATGTGGGTGGGGACAGGGAACCAGCACATCACAGCTTCTAACTAGACATTTGTTGGGTGAACAAATGGGGGGAGAAGTGAACCAGATCAAGACCCCACAAGAGAGGCCAAGGTAACTGTCTCCTGACTCTGGTGTAGATCCACGTGTTGAATATTTGCCGAACAGGTGGCATGTGGCAGAGGCTGGCCTGTGTGCCAGAGCTGTGGCAGCGAACCAAATAAAATTTGTATTTTTGTAAGTGTATGCGCTGGAAGGAAAGAAGGCGATGACTTGGCATCCTGAGAACTAAGAGGATGATTAGGGCAGCGTAAGAGGGTGGACAGTAACAAGGGTGACCTAGGACTTGGATAAAGTCAGGCCAGGAGCCACGCATATATTTGGGGACAGAGTGTTCTAGGTAGGGGGACAGCATGTGCAAAGGCCCTGAGGTAGGAGAGTTTGAGTGTTTGGATAGAGGAGGGGAGAGGAAGCAAGTGGAGCCACAGACGACCATGATGTCCAGGAATTTGGGGGTTAGTGGCTCTCTCGTGTTCACAGAGGCCAAGGATCTCCAGAGCCAGTGCTGATTAACATTCTTTATTTTGTAGCATTTTTGATCAGAAGTATTTGAGTCATGATTCCTCTGGTGACAAGTCCATGGGTTTCTCTGTGCATGAGCCTCTCACTGTCCCACGTTAGGGATCAGGGCCACCCAACCCCAGTGGGCTGAAGCTGTAGTTCACACTGACTGCTCCCAGGAAGGAAGTGGAACCCAGTCTGCAGCTCTGAGGGGCCTCCGCCCTGCCCCCGGGGAAACACCTCTGACGCACTGAGCTGTGTACTCGGAGCCCTGTGTCCCCGGCGCTGCAGGGAGCCTGCTCAGGGAGCAGGAAGGGGAAGCGGGAGGTTCCGCCCTCTGCGGCTTCGATGCACCTCCCTCCTTGCCCTCCCTGGGTGTCTGCTGGCCAAGCACCCGCTGCTCAGGGGCTGCCTCTGGGGAAGCCTGCCCAGCCCCGCCACCTGCTCTGGAAGGTCCCTCTCCCCAGGTACCTGCCTGAGACCACCCCCAGGCCACCCACGAGGCCCTGATTATTCCTTAGACTCTCTCCCCCACCCAGATGCGATCTTTGCTGAATGAACACACTCACCACCCGGGAGGGGCGGGGCAGGGAGGGAGGGGAGATGACAACCAGTTCCTGGGACAAGAAATGGGTGATGACCCCTGCCACAGAGGCCCGTGGGCCACCTGCAGGAGGGTCTTGGCTGGCGGGGCCATGGTCACCTGTGAGAGGGCAGGGCCCCTGCTTGGCCTGACCCCAGATGAGGGCCCAACTGAAGGATTCCAGGAGGAGAAGCAGAGCTCCTGGGAGCCGTGGCGGCTGGGCTCCCCAGMCCCGGCTGTGCTGGGAGAAACAGCAAGGGGACCCTGCCCAGGCCCCTCCGTTCCTCCCGTCTCCAGGCACTGGAGGGTGTCCCAGGGTGGCAGCCACACAGCGGTCCCAGACCAGGCCCCAGGGGGCAGAACCCCAGTCAGGAAGCATCGGGCCTAGAACTGCGCAGCCCCAAAGCCTCTCTGGGAACCGCGGAGAGGAGACTGTCTCTCCAGAGAGGCCCCCAGCGGCCCACTGGGGAGGAGGCTGGCTGCGCTCCAGGGCATGGGAGCCTCTCGCCCCAGCGTACAGGACAAACCCCATTCTAGATCTGTTAGGTGGCTAAAGTGGGCTGTTTGCATCCCGCCTCAGAACGCTCCCAGAGCTTGCCCTCAGGCGCAGACCTGGGAGGTCTGGGGCCTTGAACCGCATGAGAGAGGAACCAGTGGGCCCCAGTGGACCACTGGAGGTTATCCGGGATGACAACAAAGAACTGCTGGATCATCCTGCAGGGTCCTAGCAGCAAGTGATAGTGACAGTCCTCTGGGAGGGCCCAGCCCACAGGGAAACCCCCAGGAAGGCTCAGAGGGTCTGAAATGTGTCGTTGGTCAAGGTGAGTGGTTCTGTGATGTTGGCTGAGTGGCTGTGGGCCCAGTCTGGGAAGGTGCCCAGCTGGAAGATGCTCTGGGCCCAGGTGTTCATGGCCAAGCTGAGCAGCAGGACGCCCATCACATTCATCAGGAGACCTGTCCGGACCTGAAATGGAGCCCAGGCTGAGGGAGGGGTCAGCACAGACCCGCATACAGGTGAGGAAACCTAGATCCCAGACAGGAAGTCACCCGCCCAGAGCCCAGGGAGGTCGGCCTGCCGAGGTCCCGCCACTGGAGAGCAACCGTGTTTGATCGTGATGCCCCTCCCCCACAGACACACATGAGCACAGGCCACAGGCGTGCACACACACACACACACACACACRCRCACACACACGCRCACACACGGACGTGCACACTCTGCAGGTCCAGGGGAGGCTGTGCTTGTCTATGGAGACGCATTTTCCCCCTGGAGGGTCCACCTCTTGGAGGAGCTGAAGAGGACCTGCCTGTGCGCTTCCCCCTGGACTCTCTGGCCACTGGGTCCCCTGGGTTGAAAACGGCTGCTTTTCCATCTGGTTTTCTGCTTGCTTCACCTTAGCGTCACCCAGGCTTGGATCCCGTGGGGACAAAGATGTCCCCCTGGGCAGCTGCAGGCGAGTGGGCGGTCTGTGGTGGTCACTCACTGTCCCCGGGTCTCTCTGCTCCTCTGGCTGCCTCTTTGCTCTCTGGAGCCCTGTAGCCTGTGCGCCTGCCCCCACTGTGTCCCCTCTGCTCCACTCATCCCTCCTGCCCTAACATTCGCTCCACTCAGTGCAGAGTCGCCTCTAAAGACAGCACTGTCCTGCCTAGAGCCCCACAGAGCCTCCCCGCAGCTCGAGCGGCGACCCAGGCCTGTGCCCGCACTCTGCTCACCGCTCTCGGCCGCTGCAGGCACTGCAGCCTTCTGGGTGCTTCTGGAGCACGCAGAGCTCTGCCCCACGCCCAGGTGTTTGCGGTACCCTCTGCTTGGAGAGCTAGCTCTTCTCAGCTACTGTCACCTGCTTGAGAGGCATCCCATCCCTCCCCTCCCATCAAATTCATCTCTTCCACCCCCCATGCCGGGTTCTGTCCATTTTCTAGAGCTTAGCAATATTCACATTTCACGTTCTAAAAGCTCTGCCACCTGTCTCCCGGCCTCGCCACGCTGCTGCCCCCAGTGGTCAGAGCGCAGAATGCACCAGCCCTTCCTCTGTCTGCTCTTCCTTCTTCCCACCCTGGGTCCCTCTCTCTCCAGTTATCCTGCTGGGGTCTCCTGCCTGCTGACGCTGATCACCCTTCTTGGCTGTGTCAGCTCAGGACGCTGAACAAATGCTCCAGGCAGCCAGTGGGGAGGGAGGAGCTGCTGGAGGAGAGCGGCAGGCGGAAGGGAGGGAGGGAGGGTCCTGGCCCCAGCTGGGGAGAGGGGACAGGAAGCCCTGCTCAGATGCTGAGCTCCCCCAGCCACCCACAGGCTTCTGCTTCCTTTGTCTCACTCCTGGGCACTGAAGCCACCCCCCTAAGTCCCAGAGCGTGTCTGCTGCCCCCTCTCCTAAAGATTCTGGGCACGGAGCTGCTGGTCAAACAACCAAGAAAACAGCAGTGCCCAGAGAGAGGGGCAGGCCCCTTGTCCCTGAAGCGAACTGTGGGAAGCAGTCACTAGGCGTGTTTGCTGGAATGGTCTCAGCGTGAGCCTAGCCCAGAGTGTTGGCTGAAACCTGTCCCCAGCCTCATTCAGAACAGCTGTTCAGAGACTGGGGCAGGTGGAGGGCGTGGGGTCCAGCCTGGACGCTTTGCCCATTGCCTGGTGCCCCGCCTCCTGCTTCCCAGGCTGTGGCTAGGAATGCCCAGACTCACCATGTCTTTGACCAGCAGGTGTCCGGAGGCGAAGGCGATTGAGTTGGGGGGCGTGGAGACGGGGAGCATGAAGGCGTAGGAGCAGCCGACCGTGCCCGGGATCATCAGGTACAGCGGGTTCACTCTCAGGCGGATGGCCTGGGCCAGGAGGGGACCAAGACACAGACAGACACCGAGCAACCACATGAGTGATAGAGACAGTTGGAAAGAGAAGGACACGGAGGCACAGAGATGGGCAGAGTGACAGAGAACAGGGACACAGAGAGACCGAGACATGCAGCCAGAAGTACAGACAGACACAGGCAGGAAGGGGCCAGCAGACCAGGACAAGATGGAGAGAGGTTCCCAAAGTCAGTGACATCGCAGGGCCACGTGGCTGTTTCATTAGGGAGCAGCTGGGGCGATTTAGCCAGGACCTTCTCATGGGAGTGAGCCTCGGAACTACCCAGATGGCTGCCCTGCCTCCCCAGAGGGGCTGGTCCAACAGGTCTGAGCAGAACCCACGACTGTGTTTCTCACAGTTTCTCCAGTGGTGCTGCTGCTGCCGCCTCCAGGGACCACACAGGGACTGAGAACCAGGGCACTGACATAACGCTCCATACCTGGTCCTCCCCTCTGGGCACCTGTGTCGGGGCTGGCTGCGTTTCAGTAACAAGGAGAGCTCGGGCTGCATCACTTGCAAGCATCCCCACATTCTAAGCCKGTGGAGTAAGCTGTCTGTGGGTTGACCTCAGGCAGCAGTCCCCAGTGCGTCACCTCTGCTACATGACAGATTCACCAGCAATTCATGTCGGTCAATCTCTGCCACTTAAGATAGGACATTGGGGCCCCTCTAAGGAGTTTCTGAAACCAGAAGCATAGAAAATTCCTGGGGAAGCTCTGACACGGCCCTCTGTGGATCTGATGAGAAGAGAATGTGTCCTGCAGAGGCTTTCCAGCAAGAGCAGGCTCTGGGCTCCCCCCCCCCCACAGCACCCCTATTGCCAGGTCCCTGAGATCCTGGGAAACGGTCTGACTGAATCTGACTTCACTTGAGGGTGTGAGGGGTGCCACCCCACACTGCTGGTGGGAGGGTAAGCTGGGAGTCGCTTTGAAGAGCAATTTGCTCAAACCTAACCTTTTAAATGCACAGGCTCTTTGATCCAAGAATCTCAGCTGTAGGCCTTTTCTCTAAAAGTAATCAAGGATGCACAGACCCGGCAATATCAAGGCAGCCTTGTTGGGTAATAGCAGCCTGGAGTCACCCATATGATCATGAGCCCAAGATTGCTTAAACTCATCAGCAACTATCCATTTAGAACGAAATATTCCCCAGTGGTTGAAAAAGCATACATTATAGCTCTGTGCTGATTCAGTGTGACTTCTCTGCAAATTGATACATAAAATAAGCAAACTAAAACCCAAACCAGACAGAGCAGGCAAGAGGGCTTGTGTGCCACCACTGGCACTCCAGGCATAGACACCATATGTGATCGCAACATGGATTTGGTCAGTTTGGGATCATATTGAAACAGTCGTATGGCTTGGTCTTCTTTAATCTGTTTAAGTGTAAAACATCATGGATGGTTTCCTGAGGCTAACCCTGGTACAGATTCTTAGAATACCATCTACCTGATTGTGATTATTCTTGTTCTTTGCATATGATCCTGGACTCACTTCGCTTCAGTATTTGCATCTTTGTTCACGTGAGATTGGATTCTCTCTCTTTTCCCTTCTCTCTCCCCCTCTCCTCTCTGTCTGGATTTGGCATCAGGTCCTGCTGACCTCCTGGATGGCTTGCAGGCCCTCTCTCTTTCTGTGCTGGGGACCAGCTGGGTGAGGTGGGAACTCTCTGTTCCTTGAAGACTTGCCCCCTCTCACCAGCAAAGGTAGATTCTGGATAAATCGCTCCAGCCGGTCCCTGATGAGACCCCCTGGGCTGGCGATTTTAGAACAGAGGTTCTCAGTGTGATGAGTCCCCCCAGGGTTGAAGCTGGGGATGATGCTCAACACCCCCACACCCCGCAGGACAGCCCCACCCACCCCAGAGAATTCTCTGGCCCAAGTTCTCAACAGTCGAAAGGCCTGCTTTTGAGAGGGGCTACAGCTTTGCCTGTTATTAGAATCTCAGATTTTCCACATCATCCAACTTTGGAAATTCATATCTTCTCAGAAAACTCTCCATGTCACCGCGGGTTCATTTTCCCCAACGAGGGCGTTTCTTGTTTGTTTGTTTGTTTTCACTTTGAACATATTAACTCATATTTATGCATTTCTTGAAGGAAAAAAAAAACCCTATCTTTTAAATGACACCGTGGTTCTGACACTTCCACGCATTTCGGAAGACAGAAGTGACACCAGGGTCCCTAGGAGGGCTCTGTCGCAGGGAGGGGTTTCCCTGCCCCGAAGGTGTGCCCACCCCCGCCTTGGCCCGAGGGACCCTCACCAGCTCCGCCAGGATGGGCAGGAAGATGACGATGGTGGCCGTGTTGCTGGCGAACTCGGTGAAGAAGGCGATGACCACGGTGACGAGCAGCACGGCCAGCACCGGGGGCACGTTCTGCAGCGGGTGCAGCTGCCCCCCGATCCACGCCGACAGCCCCGACTCCTGCGGGTGGGCACAGCCTTCACACCAGCCCACCTGGCTGCCCAGGGGGTCGGGGTGTTGCCACAGGGACAGCGCTGCCCCTGCGCAGACGGGAGACCCGGGGCAGAGGGGCGGGGGCACCGCCAAGGGCACCATCAGAGCCAGCTGCTCGGCCTCCCAGACTTCACACCCTACCAGCCAGGGGCTGGAACCCAGGGTCCCCATGACCCATTTGGTTAGAATCAGAAATTCTATCTCCACAGGCTCTAGCACCCCGAGGCGCCAACTTGAGCCGGAGGGAGAAGATCAGACCCTTCCCCACGAGTCTCACTCCTCCAACGATGATCAATTAACAAAATCTCTACAATTACTTATGCGAAATATTCATTATTGTTGTGATTATTATATAATAATATGTGGATATGTACCGAAGTATTATATATAAGATATACTAAATATCACATATAATATGGAACAAATGAACATATGTCAAAAGCAACACAGTCAATGATTATTAAGAACAAAGATATTTATGAGCCATAATAAGGATGCCTGTTACAATGATAATGTAAACACTAACATTATTAGCATTGTACTACTGTTTCCTGTCATAAGAATTGTCATGACGGAGGCTTTCTGGAGCCAGCACCTGCTACGTTACCTGCTGACTCGTCCCAGCCATCCTGTACGGTGGATTTTATTGTCCCTGTTTTATGGGGAGAGGGTGGTGGTGGGGAATCCGAGCCTGGAAAGGTGTTGTGATTCCCTGCCCACGGTCCATCCCCCAAATAGTGACTGAGATCCACATCTGATTCATGAGCTGACATGCTTCTGCAAAGCTCCCCACACCCCACTTCCTCTGGACACACTACTTTGTCACTTTATCTCTTAATTAAGAGCAGCACACAGAGCTGACCACAGTCCTCCAGGCCAGGGAAGGAAGGGAAGAAAACTCCCTACAGTCAGTCCCCTGAGCCACTCTAGCCATGCTGCGCGGCCTGCGGGACCGAGAGCTAGGGCCAGTGCTGCTGCACACTGCCCCCTGGTGGTGCCACATAAGATCACAACGAAGCTCCATGGCTCTCCTGTAGCTTGTTTTCTCCTCAAAAACGACAGAAGTATAGGTTTAGGAACTGATCAAGGGCAGAGCTGGATTAAGCCCTAACATTTAAAATCAAATGCATTCCTGCCATAGTCCTTCTATCAACCCAGGATCCTCTGCTACCAATTCACATTGTTTTGCCAAAGAAACCTGGCCCATTTTCTTTCATGTGTAATAGAAGATTCACGGTTTATTCAGAACTTCAGACTTCATGATGGCTTCTAGAACACGTTGTAAATAAAACACGTTGCTCTGTTTACATGAATAGAACACTACACTTAGTTGTACAACGTGACTTTCAATTTACCTTCAATGCATGAATAATAAAGGCTAAAATGTTTCACTGCAGAAAGGTCCTTGCAGAATCAGGAGGTTTCTGCTCCACCTGCACTAGCCGATGGCCCAGGACGGGCCTCCCTGGCCTGGGGACACGGCGAGGAACTAGGGGGCCACTGGCTTTTCCCGTAGGCCGCAGCGCTGGCGCAGACCAGCCGAGCACATGCAGTTAGACGGAGGGGGAGGTGGCAGGCAATGTCAATGCCCCGGCCCAGGATGACGCCCAGGGCCCCCCTGCCTCTTGGCCTCCGAGAGCCGGGCCTCCTGCCAACGGCCCAGCAGCCACCCAGGTCCCGGGTGCAGCTCCTCGCAAGAGGGACTTTGGGCAGCTTCCTGGGAGAGGAAAGCCCCCAGCTCCCCGGGGTTCTGCTGGGGACACTAAAGGGACTTCACCTTCCCTTTCCCATTCCTTGGAATCGGAAGCTCTGTTTCCTAGGAAACGCACACCCCAGGGATGTCCCCAGGGGTGTCCCCAGGATGTCCCCAGGGGTGCCAGGAACCAGTGAGAGCCAAGTCAGGGGCAGCACGGCCTAAAGTGGAGAGAAGCCTCCAGAGTCAGGGTGCTTCTCGGCGGGGTCCTTCCTGCCTGAGCTGCCCTGGCCAGGCCGCCAGGCCTCTCTGTGCCTGACTCCCGAACCTGTAAACGGGGGACAGCAGTGCTGTCCTGGACGCTGCTGAGAGAGAGAACTGATGTTTAAAGTGCCCAGAGAAGTGGCCAAGGACCCGGGAAGAGCCCGGTGCAGCATCGAGTCACCAGATGCCAGAAATGGCAGGACTCAGAATCACCCAGTGCAGAGGTCAACTGTGTTCCTTGGTGGCCCCCAGGATGACAAGACCGAGGGCCACCTGCAGGACGGGAGGGAGGGAGGCTGGGTTAGCGTGATGAGGCCCCCTCCCCCTTCCTACTTCGTCCAGATCCTCTTCCCGGGCCTCCTCTCTACGCAGGGCCACATCTGACAGGAGGCCGCTGTGGCTCAAGTTCAGGGTGTGAAATCAACTCTCCTGGTGTCCTCAAAAATCCCTTAAAAGGCTCGTAAAACAGCAGCCTCCGCTGTGCCTCTGCAGCCCTGAATAAGAATCTTAGGAGGCAAGACCAGTGACTTGGATTAAAGGAAGGAAAACAAAGAGTCCTGTATGCGCCTGTGGGACGCTGCATTCATGGCCGCGTTGACCAGCTGGGTGACACTGGGCAGCGGCTTACCATCTCTGTTCCTTGGTTTCTTTAAGTGATCGTGAACAAGTACAGGTAAAAAGAGTCCCTGTACATACTCAGCACTGCACAAAATCATTATCACATATTTCATTTATCACACAACACAGAGCTTCCTCAGCGCCGGGCACGCTGCTAAGTCTCTGCTGATATGAACTCACTTGATCCTCATAACAACCCCCAAAGTGGGTGGCACACACCTCCACGTCATGGTTGAAGAAACCGAGGCACAAAGAGGGTGAGTGATTCGCCCAAATAAGTGAAATGACTCGTCTGAGTGATTCTGGGCTTAGAGTCTGGGCCTGGGCCATGCCACCCAGCTCTTGTCCCCCACCATGATGGGGCAGTAAGAGGGACGAGCCTCAGGTTCCCCTCAGGAGAGGGATGGGGAGAGCTCGGGTCTCTGACCCAGGGTCTGCTCCACTCAGCACCAGGCGCCTGTGACTTCAATCTGTCGGTAGAGAAGTGGCTCTTGTGACTCCTGTATCTGAAGGCCAAGAACAAGGCCACTCTTTCTGCCCTGAGATGGTCACACATTCGCGGCCATGGCGGCTGGTCTGCACCTGGGGGCGCTGTTCTTCCAGGCCCTTCTCTATATTGTCATCCATTTTCAAAATCGCCACCTTTGGATCCTAACGATAAACGCTTTCTGAGCATCACTCCTGGATGCCTGGACCTGAGGGGTTGGGACAGGTCTGGTCCCTGTCCCCATGAGACAGATCACCAATAAGCACACACTGCCCGGATCCGTGGGAGAGTAGATGAGCAGGGTGGGAAGAGAGGAGCGGAGGACGGGGCGGYTCTAGTTACGGTGGCCTGGGAGGTCATCTCCACGGGGCTGAGACATGGACGTGGAGATCTCAGGAAGACTATTCAACAGAGAAATGTGGTGCAAAGGTCCTGGGGTGCAAGTGAGTCTGACGTGGCTGAGGAAGAGCCAGCGGTCAGAGGAACTAGAGAGCAGTGAAGGAGGGAGAGGTCGTGCCAAGGTTGGGGAGTGAGGCAGGAGCCAGGCCGTGCGTGGGCTCATGTGCAGGCCTGGGAAGTCCCTGGGTTTGTGCTCATGTGGGTGGGCAGTCGTGAGCACACGGTTTTGCCGCAGAGCCCTGCAGTGGGGACACGCTGCAGACCCACGTCCACGAGGCTGGGCCTCCAGCTCTCGGACTCAGCCCCGGGGAAGCCACACGCCCAGCCTCAGCTGGGCCCCAGCCCAGGATCTCCAAGCCTCGGGTGGCCTGGCTGTGGCCCGGCCAACACACTGGGCTGTGCCTTAGCTTTGTCACTCCTGGGCTGGGCTTCAGCTGCCCGGGGACAGGATGGTACCAGCAGAGGCTGGGGAAGAGGGGGGCCACCACACAAAGGCCCTGTTGAACAGAACCCGGGCCGCTGCCCAGGCCTGGGCCGAGAGCCAGCCCGGCCTCCCTGAGCCTGGCCCCGGGGAGCAGGACCCGCCACTGCCCCCGCCGAGCCCAGAGGCTCCGGGAGGCGAGGCCGCCCTCCCAGTCCCCTGCCTTGGGCGGGGCTGGGCTCAGGTCCCTGTGCTGATGGCACTATGGCTCCTGACCCGGAGCTCCCCTCCCCAGCTTCCAAGCAGCGCAGCCAGTGAGTCAGGCCTCAGTGCCCCCACGCTGCCGCTTCCAAATCCCGACCACTCTGCGGTGGTCCCTGATCTCCACTCTAGGTGAGGTCACCGAGGTCCAAAGAGGTCGAATAACTCGGCAAAGACCAAACAGGAAGAAGGGCGGAGCTCTGCTTCCAACCCAGGGGACCTGTTCACTGCGTTTCAGGCCAGACCTGAGTCACAAGTCGCTTCCTCCAGGAAGCCTCCCCTGATACAACCCCACAGGAGGCGACAGAGAGGGGCAGATGAACCAGGGTTCTTATCCAGCCCTGCTACCAGAGAGCTGTGTGACCTGGGACCAGTCACCTAACCTCTCTGGCCTTGAAATTCCTAAAATGGACACCAAAAAAGTCCTTTTGTTCACCTGTCTTTTGTTCTCCTTGAATTCTGCTCACTTGTGTGCGTTTCTCTTTCTGGAATAAACGATCCTCATCAACAGTTGCCTCAAGGAGGACCTCCCGGAGGACCTGTGTGTGCCTCCCACACCCTGGGGGGGTCCTCTCGGGGGAGGTTCAGCGTGCAGTCAGCTTGACCTGGCCCCAGAAGAGCCCTCTGGCCCACAGTCCTATCAGCTCAGGTCCGCGGACAGTGGACACTGGGAGACCAGGGCCTGGCCACCTCTGACCAGTCAGGACGCTGCTCTAAAGCCTCTGTGGGGCGGGTGTCCCCCGGACCCCTCTCCCTCTCTCTTCTCTCCCTCCAGGGTGCAAACTGAGGACCCGCTGCTCCCCACGCAGCTCAGAGTCCATGTGGCCCCAGGAGGGGGTGAGGGCGCGGACGGGCACTTGTCAGCCTGGGGTCGTTATCATCCTACTTTCTCCCCGTTTCTTCTGTAGAAGAAAACGGTTTATCTATGATTCACAGATGAGAAAACTGGAGCTCAGAGAGGCTGAGAGGCCTGTCAAAGCACCCAGTGACAAGAGCAGAGCTCGGCCCCCAAATCTGGTCACCTGCACAATAGGCCCTGGTGACAGGTGTCCCGCTCGGAACGTGACCTGAACTGAGGATCAAGGTGGAAGTGAAGTCAGAAGGCCCGCGAGCTGGCTGTGGGCGTGGCCACGGGGGTGGGGGCGGAGCCCAGCGGCCAGCTCCTCCCCTCTCGCTGCTTGCCTGCTGTTTGCCTTTCAGGGCAGCAGCCCTGTGCAACCCGCCTGGGAGGTTCTCAAGGTGCCGTCAGTGAGCTCTCTGCCCGGCACAGGGCCACAGGGCGGGGCCTGGGACTAGATCGGGGCTGGACCCCAGCTCCCCGCAGAGCCTAGCTCATGACCTTGGGGAGCCCCCTAATTGTCCACACCTCAGTCTTCCTTCCTGTAAAACAGGGATGGAGGCCTCATCTTTCCCTGGGGCTCAGTGTGAGGATTAAATGAGATGATTCAACACAGGTATTGAACGCCGAGGCTGCGCTGCCTCTGGGCAGTGCCGACCGACTGTGGACTTGCGTGGCCTGAGAGTGAGCGCCTCCTGGATCTGCTCTGTGCCTCGCCTGCCCGGCCCCAGCCCTACTCTGCGCTCAGGGAGCCTTCTAGAATAACACTCGGGATAGCTTTAAACAACGGCTACTAGTATCTAACATGCAGATCTCAGGGGTCGAGGACATAGACTCTAGACTCCTTGGTTTCTCATCCTGACTCCCCATCTGTGTGACCTTAGGCAAGTTACTTTACCTCTCTGTGTCCCAGCTTTCCTATCTACAGAAGGGAATCCTCAGGGCCCCTGCCGCACAGGGTCGTTGGGAGGCCCCGGGAGCTGAACAAGGAAAGTGCAACCAGCACACGCGCCTACTCCTCGCGCTCCCAGGACCCTCCAGTTGTGACACGTTTGTCCTGTAGCCACCCGAGCTCCTGGAGCCTCCGCGTCTGACCTCCTCCCTCTCCCTCTGCTGAGTGCGGCCCACGAGGTCGGGGACCATGGTTGTCCCTCTTTGTCAAAGAGGAACCTGGCTGTGCCCGCGGGCCCACTCCACCCCCTCTCCTGTCTGAGCTGTGGGGACGGGGACCTGCCCACAGGCGGCTCTTACCTCGCAGCCCTTGGCCATGGCGAAGCCCCCGCCCAGCAGGAGGATGACGTTCCAGGGCACCGTCTCCTGGGCCTTCCTCCAGGTCAGCAGGGGCTCCGTGTCCGTGTTGGGAGCTGGGCAGAGAGAGGGACCCAGCAATGCGCAGGGGCCTGGGCCTGAGGAGGGGGCCGCCAGCCCCACAGCCCCTTCTTCGTGGGGACACTCAGGGGTCCCGGGACGTCAAGGCCTCGTGCTGGAGAAACCCCGTGAGTGTCACGAGGGGGTGTCCATGCCTCGGCTCCAGATGTGGGGGACCAGGCGCCCCACAGGCCAGACACCACCTACATCCCCCATCTGCCCCCGGGGAGGTGCCGGTGGGATCCCCAGGCCCAGCAGGAAGGGAGAAGGGGGACCTAGAACAACGGGACCGGAACCGAGAGCAGCTTGGTCCAGGCGGTCCCCTGGGCCTCTCTTCCCCAGCAGGGCCCACGTGGGCAGTGGTGAGGAGGGCGGCAGCGAGCCGGGTGCAGGGTGCATGAGCCACCGCCACCAGCTCCTGCTCTGTCCCTGTGGCTGGGAAGCAGCCAGGACAGTCCAGACAGTGGCACAGGGACACTGGTCGGAGACTGTTGACGACAGCAGGGGGTGGCTGGGCCTGGCCCGGGAGGCAGCCCTGTGAACACTGCCTGAGGCAGAGCGGGGCAGGGGAGCTGACCTCTGCGTCCCCAGGGCTTGGAGCCAAGTCACTGTGAGTGTCTGCATGTCACCCTGGGCCCCCCTGCTGGGCGGCGGACACTCTTGGAAGGGAGCAGGGGGCAGCCGCTCCCAAGTCCCCATTGACATTCCTGCCCCTCTGGCTTCCCCAGGTTCACCCGGCCTCCACAGGGTTCTGTGGTCAGAAAGTGAAAACAACAAGAGCCGCTTCAGGAACCTCCCCAGGGAGAGCCTGGAGACTCCTGGACCAACCAACACGCAATTAAGCCAGACTCGGAAGAGGAGGTGGCAGGAGGTGATACCACCCTATTTCATTAGAGGGGGGAGGGGCCTGAGAGAGTAAGCGACCCCCCTGGGTGGTAGGTAGAGCAGGACAGGGAGGGGAAGGCCCCGGCCACCTGGTAGCACCACTGGCAGGAACGTTGCCCTTTTTACGATTGTCCTGCCCAACCACGCCCTGCCACTGTTTCCTATTAGCCCGCTTCTGGCCAGGTGGGCTTCACTTCTGGCTCAAGCTCCACCTGGCTGGCGTCTAGAGCAGGAAGCACAGGCAGCAAGCACAGGTTTGGATTAGGTTTGATCCTTGCTCTGCTGTTCACCAGCTGTGTGACCTGGGCTGGTGACTCAACCTCTCTGAGCCTCAACCTCCTCATCTACCAGGCAGGGTGATAGCACTTCCCTCAGAGACTTTGGCGCTGAGATGAAATGTGCCCACGTGGGCAAAGGGCCGAGCCGGGGACATGGCCCATAGTAAGTCCTGGTTCTTCAATTGACGAATTCATCCTGAGGCCCTGCCATGTGCCACACACTGCTCTGGACACCTGGGATACAAAAGGGCCAGCAGGGAGACACCCCACCTGTTGGCGGGCCGGGAAGGGGGAGGAGGAGAGTGGACACGGCCAGTTGGGGTGAAGAGGAAACCCAAGTTGCTTGGTTTCCACGTCCTGCTTAAGCTCCTCGGGTGACTTTGATCAAGTCACTTTCTCGCCCTGGACACTGACCATTAGACCACTCTCTAAGGCACCGTCCAAGTTCTGAGGGCTAAGACACAAAGCGTCATCTTGGCCAGTCTGCACAGGACACAGTGGCCAGAGGACAGTGGTGCTCAGAGTCCCTGCCCACCAGGGACTCAATGCTGGCTAAGGTGGCACAGTGACACTGCCTGGACCAAGCTCCACTCATGGTGTCCTAGTGCGACTGCCACTGGCCCGCGTGGTGTTGGCTTTGTCATTTGAATTGGTGACCAACATTTCAAATCTGGGAGATTTCACACAAGCCCAGAATCTTTGCTTCTCTTGAAAACATCGGACCAAACCAGTCCTGCCCCCCTGCGTGCCGGCCGTGGACAGGAACCGCGGGCGTCCGTCTGCCCCACGGCACGGGTCTGCACAGCCTGCTCCCCAGGATGCCAGGCTCCTGACCTTTGTCCTCCTCTCTGCGGCCATTTCCTCCAGGGGCAGACGCTGCTCTCTGTACCAGGATGTGACAGGGGAGATGGATGAGGAGGCCACGTGCTCCGGCCACGGACTGGGAGCCAGCAACCCTGATCCCGAGACCACTGAGAGGCCATGCAGCCCCCCCCAGGGGCCCTTCTCCCTGTAGGAGGCCCCAGAGCCCAGGAGCCGGGTGGAGAGCACCAGAACAGGGCAGCAGCGGGCATCACCGTCACCACCCCCTGCAGCCCAGCCAGAGGAAGCTCTGGGCATTCAGGAGAGGCCACCTGACCTGGGCAGTCGTCACAGGAGGCCGGGAACCCGTGAGGCCGTGAGGTGGCCTCTGGGGGAAGATCCGCCCAAGTAAGAAGGTGCCGGAGCAGCCCCATTCTGAGCCGCCAGGGAGGGGGCCGACTGGGAGAGGAGTCCTGCCACACAGGTGCCCACGCAGGTGCCCAAGGAGGGCCGCGGGCAGGGTCCCGCAGGGAGCTGGAGYGGGGGCAGAAACCCTGCAGAAGCAGATGTCCCAGGGTGGCCCTAGCAGAGACCCCGGCAGGGCAGGGGGCGGCAGCGCTGGGGCGAAGCCGGAGCCAGGGGGAGGCAGCCACCAAGAGGCAGCAGGACCTCGGAAGACGCCCAGCAACGAAGCTCAGAGACGAGGCGGGAGCAAAGCAGGGGCCGTCAGGCAGGAGCGCGGCCAGGTCCAGAGAAGAGCTGAGCCCGGCTCAGCGGGGAGCCCACGGCCAGGCCCCCTGGGGTCCAGCCAGGCCACAGCTGTGTGGGACCCTGGGGACACCTGGCTTTCTGTGCAGTCTCCCCAACAACAGGAAGTAGTTAGATCCTGACCCCTGACCCCTGACCCCTGACTCCTGGTCCAGAGCCCATTCCCTGCCTGAGACAGACACAGGGCTAGTCACAGGTGGCAAGTGCTGGTGCCGCCTTCTGGCAGCCATCTGCTGGACACCTAGTGGGGTCGCAGACTGGCACTTGGCCCTCAGCCTTCGGGCTCCYGCTTAGGGGCCTGCGGTGATTTTCCTCAATGTGGCTTTTAATTGAGCTTTGCCTCCGACTCACTGCGCCCAGCTTGGCTCTGTGCTGCCTGGCTCTCAGGCCACCAGCTGCGCCTCCTGCCCTGGCTGAGGGGCCGGCCACTGTTCAGGAAGGAGGTTTGGCCGAGGGCCGGGGCAACATCAGGCCTTGGGGTCGACTTACATAACTAAGGGGAAAACGAGCCTCCCGGCTTCCCAGCGCTCCTGCGGAAAGGCACCTTGACTGTGGACACGGGACGCTGGTTTCTCACAACGCCACGTGTCAGGGAATGTTCTTCTTGTGATTTTTTTCAATCATATGAAAGCCATTCCTGGCTCATGGGTTGTGCAGCCACGGCCAGTGCTGGGCCTGGCCCAGAACTACATCTTGGATGCCACCTCAGGCAGTCCCAAGTCCCCAGACGTCCCTCACACTGCGAGGGGGACACGCAGGACCACTGGTCAGTACAGTGCTGCCCCAGGTCCCTGAGGCCACGCCGCAGGCCACGGTCCTGGCAGACCACGGTCCTGGCAGACCCCGAGGCCCAGCCTGGCCCACCTTACCTTTGAGGTCAAACCACCACTTGAGGGAGGGCCTCTGGGACGGGAAGAAGAACAAGACGATGACAATGGCCACGCTGGTGACAGCATCCGACACAAACCTACGATGAGAAGCCCACAGCACGTGACCCTGGGCTTCTCAGCAGGCCGGGGCTGGCGGGCCCGCCACTGAGGGTCTGGGACGGGAGTCAGYGCGCTGGGAAGGGGGCACTGTTGGGGACAGGGCCACTGGATGCTGAGCGCAGTGTGGGGCCACCCCCAGGGAGGCAAAGGCCCTTCTCCCTAGCCCCGGGGCATTTAGACGTGGCTGGTGCCAAACGCTGATCCTCCCGATTCAAGGACCAGAGCAGGAGGGACCTGGCCAGAGAGGGGAGACTCGGAGAGCTACAAAAAACGGGGTCCMTGGGGCCCCCAGGGCTCTACCGCACCCTTGAGCTCCCCACAGGGAAGTACCCCACCTCCGCAGGAGAGCAGGGAAGCTGGGTGAGGTGGGGTACTTCCCTGTGGGGAGCTCAAGGGTGCGATGGAGCCACCTCTCAATGCCACCTCCTAAGCACCCACAGAGGGCCTCTGGGGGAGCTYGGCAGATGCGGGGCCCTCCGGGCAGGCTGTGTGTCCGAGGAGGAAGAGGGGGTCAGGGAGCAGAAAGGCTGGCTCAGGGTCAGACCYGGCTACGCGGAGAGGAGCCTGACCTCCGGGTGGCCTGGCTCCAGATTCCCTGAGGCCCAGAGCCCGCTCCTGACAGGAGCTTTGGGCTCACAGGTACGGAGACAGGAGAAGGCACACAGCTGAGGGTTGGAGGGGGCCCAGTACCCGACGTCAGAAAAATACAAATAAAAACAGCAACAGAATACCACTTATCTGCTGATAAATTGTCAAAACCTACAAGGGGGAGGAACCTGGTGAGGGGGCGGGGGAGGGAGGACACACGGGCTTAACCTTCTAGAAGGCAGCGGAAAACACGCCGCAGATTGTACCTGCGAACGCTCCTTGATCTCTTCTGCTCCTAGGAGTTCACCCTCAGGAATRATTTATGAGACTCACACACAGATTGTGAACAGGGGTGTTCACTATCAGTAAGACAACGGGGAGGAGTTCTGATAGGGACATGTTAAGTAAAGCCTGTTTCATCCACATTACAAAATAATCTGTCTGTTTAAAAAGAGGTAAAAGATAGCACCAATCTTCATCGACATAGAAATAGAACCAAGATTTTGTGAATTACAGAAAAAAGGAAGGGCTCATTTGTGGCACTGGTCATAGCCCAGTAAGGAACGTGTTAGATAAAATAAGATCCTCCCGGATACAGAATGCTTGGAAGGGCCCAAAAAGAATGAAGTGAACCAGAAATCGCAAGTTGTTCAGGATCAGATTTTCCCGTGTGCATGCATGTGTACACTGATATGTGTCTGCGTATCSGGAATGTCACACACCAAACTGTTCCTTGTGATTGTCCTCGGGAGTTGGGCAGAGGGTGGTTGAAGGGCAACTAACTCTTTCATTTTAAATTTGGTCTTGTTTGAATTTTTGTGAGTATGCAAAATTTTTCTAATTAAAAAAGAGAAAAACAGACGCCCATCTGTTTACTGAGATTACATTTCTATTTGGAGTTCTTTCTAGCTAATTGTCAGGAGTTTTATTGACGTGTCATGAACTTGTAATAGAAGGTATCCATGGTCATACACAACACAATGTATACACAGTCTTGGGTACAGTTCCAGGTTGGACACATGTACCCAGTCCTGTAACCAGCCACTTGACCAAAAGGTGAAACAGATCTGGCCGGGCTTTATTGAAAGTCAGAAAAGATGTCTGTCAGAACTGGGGATTGAGATTTGGAGTTATTTTTCACTTTCTCTGTATCATTGAAATGCTTATAGCATCCATGAGGTATCTGGGAAAAATTTAACAAAGTACCTGGAAAATCATTCTGGAAAAATAAAAGAATAACAGTAGTCAATTCTCTTGACTCCATGAAGTTACATGTTTCTGCCTTAAAACAACCTTTAGTAGATCAAGTTTTATCACCCAAGTCACAGTGAGGACTTGGCGGCTCCCAGGGGGAGGTGAACCCAGGGGTGCTTAACCACTAAGYCACATCCCCGCCCCTTTTATTTTTTAGAGATAAGGTCTCACTAAGTTGTTTAAGGCCTTGCTAAGTTTCTGAGGCTGGCCTTGAACCTGTGATCCTCCTGCCTCAGCCTCCTAAATTGCTGGGATTAGAGGCATGCACCACCATGCCCAGCTAGGTGGCTATTTTTAAAAATATCTGAATATATGCATGTTCTATCATCCAAGCCTAAACTCTTTTCAGAGGGTAATAATGACACAATTACACGGGACGACAGGTGTAAACTCGGACACGGGTGTCCTGGTCTGCAGCCTCTCCAGCTCCACATGRCCCACCCCACAATCCTCCCCGTTGGCCTCCATCCCAGAATCTCACCCGGCGGGGAAGAGGCTGGCCCAGCCAGGGATGAACTTCGGGTCCCGGGAGAAGAGGAGGATGGCGAACATGCAGAACAGGATGAAAACGGCCTGTTCCGCGAACCTGTGGCACAGACAAGCACAGAGGTGAGCCTGGGTTCAGGTGACAGCAGCAGGGGCGGGGGACCCAGGCAGGTGTCCGTCTGAGAAAGCTGAAAAGACTCCCTCCCTCCCTCCCGGGAGGCCTCAGGGAGAGGGCAGGGTGAGAGGTGTGACTGCTCCGTCCCCGGCTCCGCCCTTGCCCAGGACCCTGCCTCAGCACCAGGCCACCCCCTCCCAGTGGTTTCTGGGAATCTGTAAGAAAGAGAAAGAAAGGAGGAAAAGAGACGGAGGTGGAAGGCAGAGAGAAAAGGGAAAGACGGGGGAAGAGAGAGAGGCACCGTCAGGGAGACAGAGGAGACAGGACTCAGGAGGGGACAGCCACCGAGAGGAGCACACACAGGGAGGGACAGACGTGGAGAGGGGTGCAGGGCTGGGGAGGGAGACTCCAAATGCAAGAGGAAGTGGCTCCCTGGTGTACCCACTTCACAGACCAGGCAGCAGGGCCCAGAGAGGGTCAGAACAATGCCCAGAGCCCCACARGGAGTAGTGCACAGCCAGCCTTGGACAGGGACCGGTGGAGCCCAGATGTTTTCACCCATGGGTGGTGGGCATTAAACAAGAGCTGAAAGCCACCGGAGGTGGTGTCAGACACGTGCCTGAGGTGGGAAGGGCCAGGTCCCCACCCCCAGCACCCTGAGGGCTTTGTTGGTCCAGGGTCTACCCAGTCCCTGTCCTGCGGGCTCCTGGGACTCGGYCCGCTCTCTCCCACCCCAAGACACCCACACACTTGATGGGACCCAGGTTCTGGAATTCTTCCCGAATCACAGCTCGCGCCTTCTCCTCTGCGTCCACTCTCAGCTTGGATTTCCTGTTTCTCCAGCCCCTGAAACAGAGAGAGTGGGGAGGGCAGCCRCGCACTGAGTCCCACTCTCGCCATCCCCCACCCGCCTGGCCGAGCCCCATCACCTCTGTCCTCGATGCTGGGAGGGCCTCTGCCTCCCCTGCCTACAGCTGTGGCCCCAGAGTCTGGCTGATGGTCCGAAAACATGAGGCCCAGGCTGAAAACCCTCTTGAGGGTCCAACGGRCCCGTGGACACAGATCAACGGAGCAAAACAGGACGTCGGGATCAGACCCACCCAAGTGGGAGCTGGGCCTGTGAGCAAGCTGGCCTCTCAGATCAGCGTGGACAAGCGGGGTGTTCAGAGGTGGTGTTGGACGCGCAGACGGGACAGACTGAGAGCCCAGGAAGGCACCCCAGCTCCATGGCCAACTGCATTTTGACAAAAGAGCCAAGACCTTGCCACGGGGATGGAGCGATCTGTYGGTATATAGTGCTTGGGGCCACTGTATATCCACGTGCAAAAGAAAGAATCTGGGCCCTACCTCACACCATACATAAAACTTGACTCAAAATGAACTGAAGGCCTGAATATAAGAGCTAAAACCATGAAATTCTTAGAAGAAAACAGGGTATGATTTCATGGTCTTGGATCAAGCAAAAGTTTCTTAGGACACCAAAAGCACAGACGACCCAGATCCGTGCACTAGACGTCATTAAGCCTTCTTTACCTCCTTGCTACCTCGGGCCCCAGGGCCTTTGTACTTGCCATCCTAGTTCCCTGGATTTGGCTTCCTCATTGGGGGCCTCCCCGTCTAGCGAGTTCAATGGGGGCTGCCTGGGTCTCTGCCTTTCTCCCGGCTGCGACCTCAGCTCCTATCAGCTCCTATGTCAGGCACCTCTCAGGGGCCCAGGGGAYGTTGCTAGGTGAAGATGGAGTTGGGGGGCTGGCCTGAACCACTCCTATGTGCACCCAGAACATCCCTCTCACTGGGCTCCCTCTACTGCATCTCCTCCCTCAGCCTCCTCTGGTACAGGTGCAGCAGGTGCTTTTGCAACAGGGAGGTGAGACGAGGAGCCGCGGTGCAGCCCGCCCTTCCCTCATGCAGTYGTTACCTGGGCCCTGGCTAGTTCTTATCCTCAATCTACAACGAAGACATTGGAAACTCGGGGAGGCCCAGAGTTGGGTAGGACGGCACCGAGCCACAACTTGAACTCGGGCCCATCCGAGTCCCCGGGCCTGCTTCCCTGGCCTGAGCTGGCCTTTGAGCCCTGGATTCCCGCCCTCAGGARTCCTGGCAGGCATCTGAGTCAGCCAACACCACACCCAGCTTCTCTTGTTTCAAGCATTTGTACATCTCTGCTCCAGAGTTGCTCCCGCTGGTCCCATTTCACAGATGAGCCCATGAAGGCCTGGAGATGAGGGGAGGGACCTGGTCAGAGAAGAACAGTGGGCACGGCTGCCAGGCCCAGCTCGGAGCTGCTTCTCCTGCTCCCCCAGCTCTGGGCATCCGCASCTCCCTGAGCCAACACTGCCGTCTCTGCACCCCACCGGGCTCCTGGTTAGTGAATATATTCCTCCTAATAGGCTCGCCGCTTAATTAAGGAAATGTATTTAAGTAGAAAAATTTATCCACCCATAAAGGRAAGTAAGACTTCCCTCATAAATAAAGTAACCGTAAAAACAAATGCGGAAAGTAAATCACCATTATCGCCTCTTGGCTAGAAGCCAGGGCTGGCCTAAGTCTCTGGGCCCCCCTGGAACTCGCTCTTTCTTTGTTCCAGAACATGTTAGGGAAGTTTCTAGTCTTCCCTCGCACCCAGCTGGGGCCTTCTTCTCAAAGCGGGTCGATTTGATGAGTGTGGGTAAAGGAATGTCTCCTCCGTTACGTGATTCAGTATCGATTCATACCAGTCCTCAAGCCGCCCAGAGGACACCCTGCAGCGGGCCCCACGGGGACCCTGCACCCCCTCTTGTCTGGCCTGAGTGTTGACCTTATTAGAGCACAGGGCTATGGATGATGGTCGAGGAGGGGACGGTACCGAGGGCCTGCACAGCCGATCCCACACCCTGGGAGGCCAAGACCTGGGGTCAGGGCTGGCGCTGCGGCACCTCCCAGAGCTCCGTGTTGGGAGAGCAGCCAGGCTTGTTGGGAAGTGATTGGATTCCAGGGTGAAATCCCGTCGGGGGACTGACCCCTTGATGGCTTGGTCGTTTGCATGGACCACTGGGTGGGACTTTGGGCAGGTGGGAAGGAGGTCACTGGGACACGGCCGTGGGCTGGGTCTTGTCCCTGGCTCTTCCCTGGGTCACTCTGCTTCCTGGCCGCCATAGTGGGTTGGTGTCCCTCGGCCGCACCCTTCCACCGTGATGTCTGCCTTACCTCAGGCCTAGAGCCATGGACAAGGGGACCACGGGACCCCTGAAGCTGAAGCCAAACGAGCGTCTCCTCCCCCGAGCTGTTCTGTCAGGGGTTTCCACCCAGTGACCAAAGCTGGCTCACCAAGGAGCAGGGACAGGGCTTGATGACAGCTGTCCCCGGGGGACACGGAGACGCACACCCCAGGAGCCAGGTGTCTCTCGTCCCCGGGCGGCCACCAGCGGGATGAGGAGCGGTACCTCAGACTCAGGCCCCCATACAGGAAGGAGATCCAGAGCCAGCCGGCCAGCAGGAACAGCAGCATGAGCGGCAGCGCGAAGATGAACCAGGAGCCGAAATTCACCACGTCGCACTGCGGAAAGAAGCTGAGGACAGCGGGGGCGGGGAGGGGACGGCGGTCAGGGTGCAGCGGCCACAGGGGCCCCGGGATCCTCCTTTCCTTTTCTGTGGGGACGCTGGACTCTGACCTCGTGGACTGAAGGGCRCCTGGGTGAGCCAATGAAGCGGGACGGGGGACCACGGGGGACCACGGAGCACAGTGCTCGGCCACCGAGCTCCCCAGTCTCCAGGTGAGAGCAGGCCCAGCAGGCCCAGCCTGGCGTGCTCCTGAAGGTCACCGAGATGGTTTTAGTCAACCAAACGCACGTGGGCTGCCACCTGGCCCTAGCTGGAYGGCCTCCCTGAGCCCAGGCCTGCGCCCCCACGGTGAGGTCCCTGGGGGGTCTTTCTCTGCTACGCGGGCTCAACCTCCGACTGGAGCACACCATCAGCCTGAAAGGAAGGATCCAGGGCAACAGGCCGGGAGGWTGTGGGGGACGGGGATTCCTGGTGCTTGGTCAGTGGAACAATGTTTCCCGGAGGAGAATTTGGTCAAGTGCATTGAACCAAGGGCCGAATGTTCTCTCTGGTGAGTGGATGCTGATCCACAATGCGGGGAGGGAGCACGGGAAGACTGGAGGAACTTGGGACTGGGCAGAGGGGAGGCAGGGGTGAGGAGGGGCATGGGTAGGTGAGAAGGCAGAATGAGGAGGGCATCGGGGCCCCAGGAACATGTACGATTGCGTGAACGGTGCGACTCTGCAGTCACCACAACCAGAGAAATGAGAAGTTGTGCTCCATTTGTGTACAACGAAACGAAATGCCTTCTGCTGTCATGGATAACTAATTACAACAAATTAAAAACATTTTTTTTAAAAAGTGCATTGAGTCTTAAAAAAATGTGTGTACCCTCTTATCCAGAAATTGTTACTAAAAATATGCATTAAGGAAACAGCCATCAAATGCAGTCGGGAATGTCTGTGCTAGACTGGAAAGGAAAAAAATAAGTTGTGAAACGACAACACACATGTGCTCATAGGCCTTTTAAAATAAATAATAAATAAATAACCAAAATATAAAGTTATTTTAAAATAAACACACAAATGAATAAAAATATGAATATACAATAGAGTGGGACCCTGAGAGACTTGTATTTCCTTCTTTTTCTTCATCTGTATTTTCTACCATGAATAAGAATGCCTCTGTGAGTAGACAAAAGAAAAAGAAAAATGTTGTTCTAAAATATTAACATATTAGCAGATACGCGGTCAGTCCTATAATTCATAATGACAAAATAAAAGTAAGATGAAAGCAATCTAAATGCTCACGATTAATAAAGTGTGACACTTAGTCAAAACAGGGTAATTGATAGCTATTAAAAATTTGTTTTCTATAAAATTTKAATGTGAAAATCAGGCTCCAAAATAGTACAGGGCTGGCGATGTAGCTCAGTGGTCCAGAGCTTGCTCGCAGGCCTGAGGCCCGGGTTCAATCCCCAGAACTGCCAAACACAAAACAAAGGCTAAGCTACACTGATAATGAGTATCTGGACACAAAGGAGCCGGAGGGAAGCCTGGGAGCGGTGGAACTGCAGGCATTCTATACTTTTAATTTTTTCTCAGTTTTCTGTTTTATAATGTGCCTGTATCATTTGATAATCAAAATAAAACAGTAAAATGTGTTTAGAAGCAGGGCCAAGGATCAGGCAGGGCAGCCACTTTCTTCTTAATGGGAGAGGTTTCCTTTTACAGTCTCTCTCTCCACCAGAAGTTCCAAGTTTGTGCATACAATTTGCATAGATGCAAGCGTATTTGCATACAATTTGCATGTGATTTACTCAAAATCCTGTGTATTTGGCATTTTCATTTAACAGCCCCAGTGCTTCCTCCCTGATTTCTTTTCAACTTGAAACACAATCCTGCTCACATCAGGGTAGGCAGGCGGCCTGGAAACTGGCTGACCGTGACTTCTCTTTCCCAGTACCCCCCAGGCCCCAACTCAGACCCTGGTCCTGCACCCAGCGCCCACGGCTTCCTGTCCAGCCCTGGAGACGGGCTTCAGCAAGCCCAGGGCCACCTCTCAGTGCACAAGTAGGAAAGCAGAAGGCCACGCCGGACCCTCCCAGCCCTGGAGCAGGACCACAAGCTTTCTGGCTTGTCTGTTGCGGATCCACACCACGAGGCACAAGCCCGCCGTGCTGCAAGACTAGAGACCAAGAGACACCTGGGGTTGGCGGCTTTAAAGCACTGGTACAGGGGGAGGCTCAGGCCCCATCCCACACCTCCTAAGTCAGAATCTCTGAAAGGGAGGCCCACACCTATTTCCTCACCTCCCTCAGTGATTCTGAGGCATGTGAAGCTGARATCTTAAAATGAAAGGATTTGGGATCTGAGAGTATGGTGACAATTCATCTCACCCAGGAGTTCACTAAGGCCAAACGGGGAGGGAAGGGGTACCGAAAACTTCTCATGAAAGTAACCTGGGGGGCATGCTCTGGTGGAGCGCTTGCAGAGCACGCCCTGGATCTATAACCAGCTCCACATAATGAACAAAAAGCAAAAAGAGAGAACTTTGATTCCKTCCTCACGAGATTGAGACCAACAGGGCCCCCTCTCCTAACCATCCTCACAGATGGTGACCGCTGAGCACCAGGCAGAGAGGCCGGCTAGCATTTGTGGCCACACTGATCTCAACCACTGTTAGCTGCTGTTTGCTAAAAGCTACGTTTGCAGTTATGCAAATCAACAATCACAGGATGCATCTCCACTGCAAAAGAACCTCCCAGAATCCTGGAATCTGAACTCCGTAGACACAGAATCTTGAAATACTGAGCTTTTAAACTTCAAGAAACTAAAGGCTTGGGATAACGGGATGAGGTCGTGCAGTGAAGAGTCCTTCTCTTCTGTCCTCCTGCCCTGGCTGCCAGCAGCCCTGTCACTTGGGAACCCGTTCAGTGCGGGGAGCAGAGCCTGCYCCACAGCCCCTCCCCCCAGCATGGTTGAAGGCCTCTCTCGGCTCTTCCCAGCCACAGAGCAAGCCCCATCAGGGGTCAGTTTCTAAAGCACCATGTCAGTCCTCTGCTGTCCCCTCCCCACCCTTCCCATCCCGTGTGGAGGAAGATCTGGTCCCTCGGGTGCTGCTGAGAACCTTGCCTCCTCACACCTCCTTCGCCCRCCAGCCTCGCTCATCTTTCTTCCTTTCTTTTTCTGGGTGGGTCTTGCTGTCCCCTGGGCCGGCCTGGAACTCCTGGTTCAAGCGATCCTCCTGCCTCAGCCTCCTGAGTAGCTGGGACAAGTGCTCCCCAGCGTCCTGGCTCTCCGTGCCTTCCTGTTCCCTGGGCTCTCCAGGAAAGTCCCACCTCAAAGCCTTGGCACAGCTGATCCCCAGGTCTCAAATGCTCTCCCGACCTGTGTCCCCACAGCTCATGCCCTCACTTGTAGGTCTCTGCTAAATGTCACCTTGGCAGAGGGGACAGGTGTCCCTGACCTCGAGCATCTCTGTGTCCCTAGAGCCTGGCCAAAGGAGGCCTCTGTACACCTTCCTGGGAGGCGGAGGTTGGGATGGAAGCCCAGGCGAGGGGCACTTGCTTCTTACCTCTTGAGCTGGCCCAGCAGGATGAGGTTGGGGGCTGTGCCCGTGAGGGTGGCGGTGCCCCCGATGCTGGCCGAGTAGGGGATGGAGATGAGGAAGCCCTTCCAGATGTTCCTGCGATATTCCTCCTCCTTCTTGGAGTCAGCCGGCAGATCCTGCGGGGCCTCCACCTCGTCAGGGTGGCCTCTGTTTGAACACCCACAGAGAAGCCGCTCAGAACCCAGCCAGAGAAGCAGCTGCCGGGGTGGGGCCTGGGGGACCTTCTAGAGGCAGATTCAGCCCAGACGTTGACCACCTTCGCTGCAGGAAGGTGTCCTAAAGAAATGAGGCACCGCCCCAGGTGTGGGCGCAGGAGTTCACTGTGGCATTGAATGTTATTTAAATCAAAAGCAAACTRAACGTCCACCCAAAGGGACCAGCCAAGCCAAGGGGCTCTTTCTGGATGGAGCAGCTGTACGGATATGGGGACAGGTGACTGGACGAACGTCCATTGACATAAGAGCTCACCATCACCCAGACTCAGCCAAAGGCAGGAGACRGTACAACTTAGGGTTTCTTTTTAAATGTTCATGTTTTGTGAATAGGTGAGTGTTGAAATGTAGAATCAAGCAGACAGCGTTGTTTGGTCCCTTTCTAGAAGGAGGTGGGATTATGTGTTGTTTTCCTCTTTGATTCTTTATTTGAGTTTTCTGGGTTGTTTGTTCTCCTCGTGCAGTGGAAGAGTTCAAGAAGAAATGAAATGAAGAATTGATTATATCSTTAGGAGATCATGATATTGGCATGAATTTACTAAAGTAAAAAGGTATCTATTGAAGTAAAAAGGTGTCCACTACACTCYGCGGAGAGACTTGGCGGGTTACTAAACTGTGTGAATGACATTATAAATTTTTAAATTTCTATTTATTTATTTATTTTCRGTACCGGGATTGAACCCAGGGGTGCTTAACCACTGAGCCACATCCCCCGCCCTTTTTAATATTTTATTAGAGACAGGGTCTCCCTGAATTGCTTAGGGCTTCGCTAAGTTGCTGAGGCTGGGTTTGAACTTGCGATCCTCCTGCCTCAGCCTCCCGAGTCACTGGAATCACAGGTGTGGGCCACACATTTTTTTGTTTGTTTGTTTTCAAACATGCATTTATGTATAGAGAGAGATACCAAGAAATCACCCACAACGGTGTTCCCTTGACTCTTGGTCTGTCTGTCTCTGGGAATGAGATGCTGGACCCGCTGGTTTTGACCTGTGCTCTCGTGAAAGCGTCTCTAAGTAGATAGACTCTGCTCTGTCTGTGGGGTGGTGGGCAGGCCAGTTAGCCTGACTGGTAATGACTTCTCAGTGTGTGCCTATCGCAAAGCATCACATGGAACGCCTTAAACCTAACACAGCTTCATTCATCAGTGATACCTCAGTAAACCTGAAAAGAGGAGTTGAAGCAATTGTCAAACCTTACTTTTTAAGATTAARATTTATTTTCAGACACTTTCCCCAGAGGGCCACGGGGACCTGCCTGGGGTGTGGGTACTGGGTTTGCAGTCTCACAGGAAGGCCAAGACCGGAGACAGCTGGAAGCAGATGAGGCCTGACTTCTTAGGAGTGAGAGGCCTGGTCAGCAGCCATGGTCTGCTTCAGGCCCGGGCCCCGTCAGCCTGAGACCAGGGACCAGGGGGCACTGGCTGCAGCGCCCTGAGCGCAGCCCTGCTTTACTCAGATGGGGAGCTGAGGGGTCTGCAGCCCGGGTGTGGTCTTCCTGATGGTGGGCACCAGGTCTGTCCAACRTACCCAACGTGTGCTCTGCATGGGCAGACACCAAAATAGACTCCCGGGTCACCTGGTCCCGAGTGGCTGGATCCGTCACAGAGGTCTTACAGTTGGCCCAAAGGCCCTGGACGTGGTGCCGGGAAGGAGCCCAGGCCACGGGAGCCACTGATCGAGACCACGCCTCCTCGTTGCTCCCATCTTGGTCAAAGCCAAGGCTATGACAGTGGCCTAGGAGGTCCCACACGCTGCCGTCTTTCCACCTGCACYTTCTCGTCACCCCAGCCACCTCTCTGCACCCACCCCCATCTGCTCACGCAGGCTCAGCCACGCCGGCCTCCCGTGGCTCTGGGAACCCCCAGGAGCTGGGCAGGTGCCGTCCCTCTGCTGGCAAGGCCCCCACAGATGCCCGCGACCTCACCTCCTGTGGGGCCTTCCCGGCCTTAACCTGCCCTTTCCTCCCGCTCCGGCTCCCCTTGCTTTGCCCCACAGTGAGGGCTTCACTCGCCACCCGGCTCCCCCAGGGCTGGCGCCCTCCTCTGCTCCTTGCTGCTCCCGCCAGCCCTACGCCCTCCCTAAGCGCGTGTCCAGTGAGTGAAGCCGCCCACCCATCCCGGCTCTGCCCACACAGCCTGGTGCTGCCTGGGGAAGATGASGCTTCAGTAACAGGTGCCCCCGTGTATACGTCAGACCCGGGCAACCTTCATCCACACTATCTCACCTAATTGCAAAACAACTCTCGGAGGTGGGCCCCAACATCACRTCCAGTTGGTAGGTGAGCACTAACTGAGGCTCAGAGAGGTCAAGCAACTTGTTCAAGTCACACAGTCAACAAGTAGCAGGGCTAGAATTCCACATAGGTCTGTGCGACTCCAAACCCTGGGGCCTTAACCATGCTGCYGTAATACAAAGGACACTGCAGAACAAACGTGACAATGATGTGAAGATGTCACACAGGGTGAAGGACGGCCATCAGATCACAGGATATGTCTGTCCTTAGAGCCTCCTAGCCTGGCCTCCCCTCCTTGAGGACCATGTGGCCAAGCTCTCCTGCTCCCTGGGTCTTTCCTGTAAGAGGAAAGCCCCCAGCCCCCAGCCCCAGCCCCTCGGGGATTCCTGTGCCTCTGTCCTCTCCATGGTGGCTTCGTATAAAGGAGGCCATTGAGGCCTTGCCCAAGCCCCGGGGAAGACTGGTGGAAACTYGGGCACTGGGTTGTCTGGAAGGCCTCGGGGCTGGCCAGGGGAAGGCCGAAGCAGATCCTTGAACCCAGCATGTCTCCCCCAGAATTTCCCCAGGAACTTACTCTTCGGTGCTGGCCAGAAAGCGCATCTCCGTGGGCACTGCGGGCAGGCCGCTCCTCCGCAYGGCAGCTGGGGGAAAGAAGGGCGACGTCAGCGGAAGCGGCAGAGGGGACAGGGCACTGGCTCTGGGGTAGCCAGCCRAGGGGCCTCTTCCTGGCCGAGGACCCTGTGCTATTCATTTAAAGAAAAAAGGGGAGGGGGGAAGGCAAGGGGGGAGGGGAGACCAGGGACTCACCCCTCCTGTCCCACCCTCCTGTCTGGAGATGGTCCCGGGCCTGTGGGACCCACCTGGCCACCCATAGCCCAGGCCCCGGCTCAGGCGAGCAGCCATCGCCCAAGGGCTATTTGAGAATGACCAGCTGTAAGGCCTAATGGATTCAGCGCCCAAGAGGGTTGGCAGGGCTTCTGCGAACATCTCTGGCCTGGCCCGGGAGAAGGGACTGCGGGCCCAACTGGGAGCGGGGAACCCAGGCAGGGCCTGTCCCCTTCTCCAGGTAACGCGGTGGGGGTCGGACTGGGCTGCTGGCCACAGAGATGCCGAGAGGAGGCAAGCCGGGCAGGTGTTTCTGTTCCTCTGACTTGAACTCAGGACCACCTGGAGCTCAGGGCAGGAACTCGGTTACACGAAGCCTCCACCATCSATCCACGGAGAAACCTTTGTGCAGCGAGTGTCTCTCGTGTGTCGGGCACTGAGTCAAGGCATGGAAGTCCGTGCCCTGCGGTCCTTACCCTCAGTGGGGGGGACAGACCACAGACACGTAAATATCCGTGGTGTGTCAGACGCAGGGGTGTCGCGGAGAACAGGGCAGAGAAGAAATTCCCACGGAGAGGAGCTCTGACCAAGAAGGGAAATCTGTCCTCTGAGACCTGAAGCGGGGAGCGGGAGCCCTGCAAATGCCCGGGGCGCGAGCAGGAGAGGGCCCGTGTGTCAGGAAGCCGGGGCCGGAGGAGCCTGGGGAGGGGGAGGCAGAGAGAAGAGGCCGGGGCAGGGGGGCSGGAAAAGGGCCGCCGCGCAGGGTCTCGGAGCTCCCGTGAGGAGCTCGGCTTCTCCTCGGAGTCACGCGGGAGCCAGGGTAGAGCTTGGGCAGAGGAGGACCGCTCAGGATCTGACTTCCTTCTGAAGTCCCCTCTGCTCACCGACCACACTCCCCAGGAGCTTGGACAGTGTTTTGGAGAAGAGAGAAAACCGAACGGATTTAAGTTCCTGCAGTTGGAGCCACCACCCAGGACCCTGGGAGCTGGCTGTGGGGCTGCGGTGAAACTGGGGCCTGCTTCCGTCACTTACTGTGTGGCCAATTCTGCCCCCGAGGGACACTGAACAATGACTAGGGACGTTTTTTTGTCACAGGGATTTGGCGGGGATGCTGCTGCACATATTAGAGACCATGATAACCGCCCCCCATAGCAAGCCAGGCCCCCAACAAAGAGCCCTGTCACCCCAAATGTAACAGTGCTGGAGTCGAGGAGCCCTGGTCCAGATACATCCTTGATTTCCCGTTACTCCGTTCGGGAGTCATAAATGGAGTCACCGTCTCCGCAGGACTGTCAAGGGGTTAAGGAATGAACCCAAGGAACGCAGGGACAGGCCCGGGGTCAGCTCAGGGGCAGAGCACGTGCCCAGCTTGCTCTAGGCCCTGGGTTCCACCCCCAGCAYTTTAAAATAAAAAAAAAAAAGATAAAGCAGAGACCAGCGAGCTTCTTCTACGAAGCCAGATAGTAAATACTCTAGGCTTGGGGCCATGTGATCTCTGCTGTAAATAGTCAGCTCTGCGGGGAGCACGCAAGGCACAGTTCATGAACAGCCGGGCGCTGGGACTTGAATTTCACATAATCTCTGCATGTCACAAGATGTTTTTCTTCTTTCAATTTATTTCAAAAAAATATAAAAACTATTCTTGATTCATAAGCTGCACAAAAAACAGATGGTGCTCTGGATGTGGAGGGCCAGGGTGTGCCAGCAGGAGCTGATGGGCGAGGGTGCTGTGCGGAACACAGAGCAGGGTGCTGGATGCTGGGGCCAGGCCTCGTGGTCCTCCTGCAGGACCTCCAGCTAACAGAGCAGGACCACTTCCTGGCCTTGTCTAAGTGCAAGGTCACTGTGCTGCCCAAGAACCCCAGCACCCGCTCCTGGCTAATGAGCGACCCTCTTTCCTGACCAGGTGTGGATGCGCCCTGGCTGCTGGCCTCACCCATCGGGGACCGGCCGGGCTTCCACAGGCCCTCCTCCAGATGACCTGAGGGGCGGCCCAGACCCGGGCAGGTTCTTGTGACCCCTCTGATGAAGTCGCTTGTGGCCTGGGGTGCAGGCTCTCACCCTGCTGCGGTGGATAGTCAACTCATTTAAGTAGACATTCCCGGGGGACTTTGGCTGAAGGACATTGACACTCTCAAAGAAAGTCCAGCAAAATGTTTGATTTTTCTTCTTTACCTGGGATTTCCTTCAGGAAATCAGTCACACACTGACCACATGGAGGAGCAGGAAGGGTCTAGACCCCAGCCTTGGCTCTCTCCCCGGCTTGCTCACCCAGTGGCTTGGGGAAGTCATCATCTCCACCCCCGCCCCCCAAGCTGGGTGGTTCCTATTGGTACCAGGAGGGAACAGGGTTTTATGGCAGCAGCTGGGGTCCTATTTGCTGTGCCTGGGGCGGGTGCTGTGACCACCAGAGAGGTCTGAAGGCTGAAGTCAGTGGGCTCACCCCGAGTGGCGGGGACCAGGACCTCAGGGCTCAGGTGACAGTGACACACATGCACACCTGAGGCTTGAGCCCTGAGCCCAGGGCACTGAAGCAGAAGGTGGAGCCCTCCACAGCACATGGTGGGTGAGGAGAGTCGCTCCCCAGGGGATGGCTAGACAGGAGGACTCAGTGACCCAGTCCCCACCTCCAGCGCCCTCTGCACCACTCCCCTGGGCTGGGCCACCGCTGCCACACCCCTGCGACCTCGCCGAGCTCCACACAGCTGGCCCTGAGGAGTCCCCAGGGCGCGGGTCCCTATGGGGGACTCTGGGGTGGGGCCTGGGCCTCAGTATCTTCAAGAAGTTCTGCGGGCGCCCCTTTGTGCAGCCAGGGTTGAGGGCAACTTGTGGAAGTTACTGGTGGAAAAATGAGGCTCCCGCGACTGCCTGGCCCTGGTGGGGGCTCCACCTGCTCCTCCCTGGAGGCCGCTGGAGGCCAGACAGGAGCGGGAGCCCAGCCGGGGTCGGGGTTCGCGCACACACCCCGGTGGAGGGGACCGGCGATGGGCGGGGAGTCCCGTTTCTTGTGTTAGGTGACAGCAGTCCCCGGGCCGACTCTTCTAAGGACGGAGCCGATGGAGCCAAGGGACATGGAGCTGGAAGCCAGGGCAGCAAGGCAAGAGCTTAACGATTCACCAGAGGCCTCCCCGGGGCTTCCTGTGGCCGCGGGGCCGAGAGGCCACACGAGAGCCGGCTGCTCTGGGTGCACAAGTCGAGGTCAGCCCGGAGCTCGGCGCTGACGTAAGGTTTGGTCAACAACGTGATCCTGGAGTCCGAGGGCCGAGAAGGCTCGCTGGCGGAGGAGGACAGAGCCCAGCAGCCCTGGGCGTGGGCGGGGTTGGCCGCCTTTCCCTCCCCCCGGGGAATCCAGACGCGCCGGCAAAGCCGGGATCCAGAGGACCCAGAAGCTGGGCGGGGTGGCGCTGGCCTGTAACCCCAGCAGCTCGGGCAGCTGAGCCAGGAGGGGACATTCAGAAGCCCCCACGTTAGGCAGGTGCCATCCATGAATTCATCAGCACTCCTGACGCCCCAGGAGGCCACTTACCACCCCTACTGCATGTCCGAGGGGCGGAGGCTTAGAGCCTGCCACCGGCCAGAGGGCACTCTGGGTGAGCAAGTGGGCAGGGCAAAGCTGTCACAGCGGTGACGGACCACACAGGCCCTCAGGGAGCGTGGAGTCCGTGGGCAGGCCCCAAGGAGCCAGCGAATAGCCCTCTCCACCCACCACAGGGCGGGTCTTCCCACTGCTCCTCCCACTGCTGGAAGCTCCTCCCACTGCTGGAAGCTCCTCCCACTGCTGGAAGCTCCTCCCACTGCTGGAAGCTCCTCCCACTGCTGGAATCCTAGAGAGATTTTTATGCAGCGGCCACTTCTGAGCCACTTCCTATGTGCCTGACTGTCGTTTCTCACGTCACTCAACATAAGACAAAATGGGGATATTTTGTCTTTAGAGATAAGAAGAGGCTCAGGGGGTGGGTTGGCTTAATGAGGGAAGAGGAGGGCGATGTTTAACACCACCCGAAAGATGTCTCTGTGACAGAAGGTRCATCTTGGACATTCCTGAAGGAAAGGCATGGTGGCATGCCTGGGTGGCCTTCTTTGGGCAGAGAAAAGGAGGAAAAGGTTCAGATTTGAAAGCCAGGTAGAGGTGGGTGCAGGGGTACACACCTATAATCCCAGTTACTTGGGAGGCCGAGGCAGGAGGATAGCAAGTTCAAGGCTAGCCTCAGTAACTTAGTGAGACCCTGTCTCAAAATTAAAAAGTCAAATTAAGACCTGGGAATAAAACTCAGTGGTAGAGCAGTTCCCTAGCACACACAGGCCCCTTACTGGACCCTGAGCAAATCACTGACTTGAGCTTCATTTGCTCCTCTGTAAGATRGGGTGAAACAGTGCTGCCCACCCCCACAGCTGGAGGATGAATGGGAGCACCCCTGTGGAAGGGTGTTGAAGCCACCACTCACGTGACAGTGCCAAGCACAGGATGGTTCAGGAACTGGAGAGAGGGGGCAGGTCTACCCTCAAAGGCTGAGGACCTCTGGGGTCTTGTCCAGTGAGCCCCATCCTACCCCAGCTTCCCTGGGCTCCCCTCTGGGCCAGGCCCTACGGCACAGAGCTCATAAACACAGACTAGAGCTCAGCGACTCGTTCACGGTGTTACTCTGGGTGAATCATTTTGCCCCTGTGAACTTCAGTYTCTTCATCTGCAAATGGAGGTCATCTACCTCATGGTGCAGTTAGGATTCAACAAGTCAATGGGTTGAAACATTGAGCATGGCGTCTGCCATAGAGTGGGCCCTCAGAAAAGGGTGGCTGATATTAGCATTGTGTGGCTGCTATCGATGGCCCTTGTGACCTTGCAGCCTGGAGGAGACGCCCTGCCCCTCTCCTGGTCCATCAGCACAGACTCCGCTSCCTCCAGCTCTGGCCTCACCCCAGCACCTGGTCAAGGCACAGAACTGGATGGAAGGGACATCTCTCTTTGAGCTGGAATCAGCCTTGTCCTTGTCCCAGAGACTGATCATTAACCAGTCCCTGCTCTCTATCCTGCGGCTGCTGAAGGGCCCCCAGCCTCCCAGGGCCCCAGCCTCCTGACATCCTGCGGTGYGAGGGACAAGACCCCGGCTCCTGTTGCAAGGTCACCACTGTGTGTGACCMTGGGCGAACCCCCTCTGCCCCGGGCCTCAGACTCTGCGTCTTTGTAAGGAAGGACCTGGTATTCAAACCTCGTGTGTTCATTTTAAAAAAGAGACTCCTGTGGGAGGGAGTAGGGGAGAGAAGGAGCAGCCCGTCCCGGCAGTTGGAAACGCTGCCTAGGAGGCCACGGCAGCTCCTCTTATTTCTTCCGCTCCCGGGAGGTCAACGCCAGCTCCATCTCATTCAGACCCCAGGCCTTAGGWGGACCTTGCATTAAGTAAGTGCTCAATAAACACAGTTACTGTTCCTAGGAAGGGCAGCCTAAGATAAAGAGGGCTCAGCCGGGGTTGAAAGGGGACAAGGTGCAAGCCAACAATGCAGAGCAGGGGCAGCCGCGCACGGTTTGCAGGTAGAATCCGGCCATGACCTGATTCTGTACCACCTACCAATGGAGACTGGAGTTCACATTTTTAAGTGGTTGAAAAGATCAGTAGAAGAATAACCGTTCAGGATGTGACAGTCCACGAGATTTTAACTCATTAATAAAGTTGTGTTAGCGCTCAGCCACGCCCACTGGCACCCTGCCCCTCACTTCAAAGGCAGAATTGAGTAATCGCGACAGAGCGGCCGGCGGAGCCTAAAATATTTACTATCTGGTTATTGACAGAAAAAGTCTGCCAGCCCCAGCTTCTCTCCCCTCCCATGGAGAAGACTTTGCCCTCGAGGAGACCYGGGGTCGCTGCTTGACCAGCGACGACATAAGAATGAACCATGTCACTTCTCCAACCCCGTCTGTACAGGCTGACGATCGTTCCGAGCTCTCAGGGCCGTGGTGGGAACAGAATACACAGGAGCCACTAGTGCACAGAGATACCAGCAAGTGACATCGCTTAGATGCCACACGGGCCAGCATTTAACTTTGATCAGACCCATATTGACTGGAACACACACTGGAAAAGAACGTGACCAGCACCTCAAACCCACAGAGGCCTGGAGGATGCGGTCGTGTGAGTTATGAAAACGACCCAAACCTGCTGGGACCCATCTGCCATCTCTCTCTCAAGAGGTAGCTTCTACCTCTAGGTCCCAGGTGGCGTCTCTCATAGTCTCATGGGCCCAGGGGGAAGCAGTGAGCAGGAAGGCAGAAGCTGACATCATTCCCACTTACGTGCCTGAGGCCAGACTCGGCCTCCTGACCACATCCAGCCTTTTCCCTGCAAAGCCCCGAGCCCACGGGGGTCCACTGCCAGGAGAACTCCAGAGAAATTGGTGTGGGACGAATAGGGATCTGTACCCCGACACGGATCAACTAAAGCTTCTTTTAAGAAATAGGACATTTCAGAGCTGGGGTGCAGCTCAGTGGGTGGAGAGCCTGCCCCACATGCCCAGGGCCCCGGTTCAGTCCCCAGCACCACAAAAGAAAAAGAAAAAAGAAAGAAATGAGACATTTTAAAGTGGACGTGATGTGACAGCCACGCGCAGCCCTGGGAGAAAGRCCCAGGGACTCGGGTTGCCGAAGAAGAGCGCTGGTCCCTATGCCCTGGAGTGGCCTGGACGGCCTTTCTCCCGCTCCTTGGTACCTGAGGGAAATACACCTCTGCTTTTGCAGCGGCTTGAAGACGTCATCCTCTGAGTTGTAGCCACAGGATTCCCTCCGGTGGCACCAGTGGCTCTGGAGCACAGTGCCGGGCCTGAGTCAGGCTCCATCATCTGCCCACTGTGTGATCTGGGGAGGCTGCTTGCCCTCTCTGGGCCCACAGAGTGGTCTAAAGCACGGTGGCCGCTGTGGGGTTTTGCAGTCAGTTTGTTTTTGCTAAGAGCACAATTTCAGAGGGTGGGGGTCCCAGGGCCAGGTCACGGCACAGGGCCACTGTGGCTGCCCAGGCCCCTCTTCGGTTTCATTTTGTTAAAGTTTCTACTCTCACCGCTCCCCACTTGGACCCTCCCGTAGCAGCTTCCCCACGGGCTAAGAGGCAGCTGTTGCTTCCTGCCCTCTCCTTCCTTCCCTTGTTTCCTTCCTTCCTTCCCTTTCTTTCCTTCCTTTCCTTTTCTTTCTCTCCAGGAATTAAACCCGGGGCCCTTCACCTCTGAGCCACACCCGTAGGTGCTTTCATTTTTTATTTGGAGACAGGGTCTCTCTCACTTAGGCCTTGCCAACTTGCTGAGGCTGGCCTCCAACTCGGGACCTCCTGCCTCAGCCTCCCAGGTCGTCGGGACCATAGGTGTGCGCCACCGTGCCGTTTATACTCCTTATGTTCGTACACAGCGCCGTGTCATCCACATGTGCACATGTTTAATTCACATGTTGTCCTTGGGGCCTGTACCTCATTCTGGTGTTTCCACAATCAAAACTGTTTTAAGAGATCCGTTTCTGTAACTGTTGGTTTGCTGGTTCGGTGCTGTGCTTGGTGTGTGCCATCAACAGAGCCCGCTTGACTGCCAACTCCTCACCCCAGGAAGAACTCGCAGGGACTGTCTGTCGCCTGTCTCCCGGATGGAGAACCCTGGGGGCTTTATCCCCAGGAGCAGAGCTGTTCCCCCAGGGCAGAGGCACATTTGGCTTCCGCAAACTCCTGAAGAGCATAATGTGTAGCTCTTCTCCTTCCTCCCTTCCTTCCTTCCTTCCTGAAAGGCCGGCCCAGACCACACTCTTTCTAGCAGTGCCCCAGCGTTCCCACGGCCACGTGGCTGCCAACACTGGACGTTACCCAGCTTTCTTATTTTTAAAGTCTTATCGATTCAAATCTCATTGCTTCAATTGGCGTTTCTCTGAGAATTAGGTTGAACATCTGTTCAAATGCTTTCAAGCAAAGTTTCATTATAGGATCCAGTTCAAAGGGTTATGTGGAGAGTCAAAGGAACCAATACATATGCTCAATAAATGCAAGAATCAGAAAACCAAGGTCCCACAGTTGGACCTGTCTGATTCTCGGTTAGACATCTGACGCCCAGAAGGTGCTCTGCAAGTGCGCATTCCCCTGGCTTCTCCCAGTTTCCTCTGGTTGTCCCTGCTCCCCTCCCTTCATGCGGTGGAGTGGCCGCAGTGCCCTTGCACAGCCTCACCTGTGTTCTCATCACCTTCCCAGCTGAGCTCCTTCTGAGCCTCCTTCTGGCCAAAGAGACTCTTCAGGATGGCGCTGGCAATGGGCAGCATCATGGCCGTGGAGGCGGTGTTGCTGAGCCACATGGACAGGAACGAGGTGGTCACCATCATCCCCAGAATGAGCCTGGGGACAGAGGGAGATAGAGTCAGGGCCCGAACCCAGGGTCCACAAGGTCCTCTGGGCCCAGGTTCCCCTCCCTGAGGAACCCAAGCCCTTAGCTTCACAGTGGAAAGTTRAGATGCAGAGAAGCAAGTCAGTGGCCAGAGGGACCCACAATCTGGKCTTGCTGGGATCTCAAGAGCCCTGGCCACTGCGTGGGTGAACGGCCCACAGGCTCCTGGGGACAGGGACTCCAGAGCCATTTCAACCAAACCCTCCGTGTCACCCATTTCAGGGTAAAGGTGCCAGGACACCAAGGCTCCTGCYGTCTTGCCTGCGACCTTCCCAGACTCCCTCCGGCCCCCACTCCCACCAGCACCCGCTGCTCACCCGCTGAGCCTCTCCCCAGCACCCAGCGCGCCTGACTCCTCGGCTCCTGGTCTTTGCTTGGTCTGTTCCCACAACAGAATCTAAGTCTCGGGGTGTTGAGGGTTTGGGTTTTTTCATATATCAGTCTCTTAGTCCACCTGGAGTTCATTCAGATGGTTGTATGAAGGAATCAGACCAATGGTCTCAGCTCCCACTGTTTACTGCCCCTCCCTCCTTCCCTGTGGGTTCCAGTGTCCTCTGGGTCTTCTTCTGTGTCTAGACGGTTCTAAGCCAGCGCCTCGCTGTGCTCATGGCTGCAGCTTCACCTCCACACCTCCCCCCCCCCCCCCCCCCCCCCCCCCCCCCCCCGCGCCCCTGGATAGCAAACCCGGCTGGTTGCTGGGCTCAGTTCTCGATGGAGTCTGACCCGCAGGGTGCACAGCCTCCCGAGGGGACACCCCACATGGTCAGGCAGCTGTCTCAGCAGAGTGGATGCGGGAACCCAGGGTCATCCACAGCGTCCCCTCCTCCCTCACCCCCACGGGTCACGTCACTCAGAGAGCTCTCAGGTCTCTCCCTTCTGTCCTTCTCCACTGCCACCCTCTAGTGCAAGCCGTCACCATCCTTTGTCACACCCAGCACAGCCTCCCAGCCAGGCTGCACCTGGCTTCTCACCTGCAGCCCACCACAGGTGGCCAAGAGGAGGCTTAGAAATGTAAATTTGCCAGGTCACTCCCCGGCTCAGGACCCTTTACAGCAGGGGGCTGTGGACACCATTCCAGGCTGGATCAGGGAGACACCTGGCATCTTCACGTTGCTAACTTCTAGTCAGAAGTGGGTCTTTTCCTCCGTGCCTGAGACTTTATCACCAAAAAAGGTCACAGGTGTTTTCTAGCACATTATAACAGCTGCAGGACCCTGGCTTAGCGATGATGCTCAAAACKGTCTCATCACTAGATCTTGCCGTGTGCTGGGTTCATAAAGGGGCTCTTACGGCAAAATGTGTTTTAAAAATACTGTTTGAGTAACTGCATTTTGCTCCAGTTAGGGTTGTGGTTGTTGTTTTAAATCCTGAAAACTGGATTGCTTCATGCAATTTAAAACATCATTCTGAGAAAAAATCTTAAGATTCACCAAATTGCCAAAGGGGTTCATGGAAAGAAAACAACAGACGTGGACACACACACCCCTTAGCTAAAGCCACCCAACCCTCGGAGAATGGCTTTGCAGGGTTGGGTCCTGTGTCCGCCTCTCCTGGGCCATCTTCCCACCCACTGTGTGTCCCCAGTGGCTCCACCCCATCACCCGGCTGCTGAGCAGCGAGCAAGCCTGAGAGCGCAGGGCCAGGCCCCCTGCGCAGGGCTCAGGGACAGCCCGCAACGACCTTCTAGTGCTCGCAGGGACTCCGTGAATCAAGGTCCATCGCCATTTCCAGGCAGCGAGGGGCAAAGTCACATCCCGGGCTGGCCCTGTGGCCTGGCCTTACCTGGCCGGCTGGACTCCCACGAGCATCAGGACCTTGAGGGCGATCCTCCGGTGCAGGTTCCACTCCTCGATGGCGGTGGCCATGATGAGACCGCTGAGRAAGAGGAAGTTGGTGTCGAGGAAGTACTGGGGGCAGACCTTGCTGGAGGGCAGGATGCCCAGGAAGGGGAAGAGGACGATGGGCAGCAGCGCTGTCACTGACAGGGGCAGGGCCTCRGTGCACCAGTAGACGGCCATGAGCAGGATGACGAACAGGCAGCGGCCCTCCTGCAGGGGACATACACAGCTGGGGGCGCGCCCGGTGCCTGGTGCAGAGGCAGGCGGACGGGCCCACCGGGCTCCTTCGCAGGGAAGTGGTGCCCTTGGCTTTGACCTTGAGCTAGGGCATCACCTTTCTGAGCCTCATTTTTCTCGGTACAAAATAGAGAAGCTATTTCTGCCTACTTCACAAGACTGAAAGAAAACTAACCAAAATACTCACTGTCTTAGAGGTAAACCCCTAGGCGAGGACGAGAATGGAAATACTTGATTTAACAGGGGACCCTAGAAAGTTCTGGAAGAGTGTGGGCAGGTGACACGGAGAAAGGGCCAATACAAGGTGAGTTTAGGAGAAGTTTCCACCGTGRGCAGTTGGAGCCACAGTCCTGGTGGGGGGCCTGGGACGCAGCGCAGGGCACACCCGGGAGCTGTTCTCCCTGGAGCCGAGGCCCTGGCCTGGACCTGCTGAGGCCTGGCCATCGCTGTTTGAGGACGGCTCCTGGGAGCACTTCCGGCCTCCCCCTGTGCAGGCTGAGCTCTGCCTACAGCCAGAGAAACACTCCTGCAGCCATAGGAAGAGGGATCAGCATGTGCGGGCCCAGGGACCGCCCTGGAGTGGAGGGCACACAGTAAGGACGGCCACAGCTGGGCAGGTGCAGCGGCCAGCACGGCACACACTCGATGCACAAAGACGGTGACCGTCKCACTCATCCTGTCCTGTGCACCGCCTGACCTACCAACTGGTGTCCCGGTTTGGAAACGAGGCATCCTGAGGCAGGATTGCGACCTTGAATGCTCACAGGAGCCTGACATGCCACCGTGGAGCTCTGGGGCTCCCTCGCACAATCTCGCACAGTTCACTTTGCCTAGAAGACATTTTGCTTTTCTTTGGGGTCTGTCACGAGATGCCAGACTGCCAGGTGACAGTGCACTCCTGCCCCTGACATTGGCAGTCTGGGGCCCAGACACCTGCAGCTCATCAGCTTCTGCAGCTCCAGGAGACCCACGTGCAGGCAAACCATTCGCCCCAGAGAGACAAGGCCCCAGGCAGCCCAGCACCGTGAGCATGGGGCAGAAGAAGGCCATAGGAGGGACTGGTGGGGACCGAGGAGGGCGCTGCCTTGGTACCAACTTGCTATGGCTGAGTCCCCCCAGCCCCCCAATTCATATGTTGAAACCTAACCCCACTGTGGCGGGACCCTCATGAATGCAATTGTAAAAGAGGCCTGAGGGCCTTCTGCCTTGTCCGGGCCCAGCAACAGGTGCTGAAGCACAGAGAAAGGCCCCCTGAGACACTAAATCTGTCGGTGCCTCTGTCTTGGACCTGGCTGGGCTGTTTTAACAGGCTCCAGAACTGTGAGCAATACATTCCTGTTGTTTACCCCTGACCCAGTTGAAGGCACTTTTTGTTACAGCAGCTCAAATAGAATAAGACGCTCCTCCATCTCCCTGGACCCTCACTGTTCACAACAGGTGACCCGTCAGCTTCCTCTGGCTAAGTTGCAAGCTTGGTCAAGATTTCCAGGGACAAAAGACTCCCAGGAACTGCTCCAACCAGGAAGTTTGGTGGCTGTCCAGGTGCGATGGCTAAGGCACATTGATGCCACACACCCCCCATCCTGATAAGATGGAGGCGCCGTTGTCCTGGAGTAACGATTTAATCCATTCCCCTTCGATACCTCCAGGTCTTCACGTTTCACGTTCCCACCGCCAGAAACACTCCTTGGAGCCAAGGTCCTTCCGGAGGGTCCTTCTGGAGGACAATCAACAACAAGCTCCTGGAGATAGTGACACCTTTCTGAGCTAAGATCTGGGAGATCTTTGGTGTGGGGAGGAGGGGCTGTCTTCTTGCCTGTGGGGAAGCTTTTTGTATTTGAGTTAAAAAGAAGGGCCTCATCCGAGCCAAACCCAGCTAGTGGGGTGCACCTTGCTGAAGAACACCCACTTGTTACGTCAAGTGAGTCGGTCAGCGGAAAGGTGTGTTTCCTGAGGCTCAGAAGTAAAAGGGGGTGCCACTGCATACCCACGCCATTCCTAGTCAGGAACATGGGTGTGTTCCCCGTGGAGAGGACCTGGGAGGGTGAGCTGCTGGGAGCAGAGAGGGGCCTGAGGGGGCGTCCACATCAGTCACACTGGTGTACCCCCTAAGGCCGCCAAAACGGGTTCCAAGCCAGGGCAGTTCTCAACAGCTCTTCTCCCTACCGACCCTCTAAAATTCCCGGAGCATCCGAAGCACTGCCAAACCACATGCACACATTTACTTGTCCCCGTGRACCCAAAGCTTCTGACATTCATGTGCCCATGGATCAAAACATCCCTTAAAACCCTGCATGACTGGAAATGCTGCCGAGTCGCAAGCCGCGACGATTCTGGTGTTCAGTGTCACTGGCCTCCTCTGTGTCCCCGCCTAGAATGCAAGTGCCACGAGAAGAGGGTCCTGTTTGTTGTGTCTCATTCTCTTCTGTGTCCCCAGCACCTGGCTTAGCGCCCAACACGTGTAGGGGCTGTCAGGGCAGAATGAGTGAACTGAGGGAGGGGGACCCCCCCAGGACTCTTTGCTGGGCCCTGTCCTGGAGCCTCGGGGGCAGAGAGAGGAAGAGAACCTCGGGAGGCGGAGGCAGGAGGATTGTGAGTTCAAAAGCAGCCTCAGCAACTCAGTGAGACCCTGATTCTAAACAAACAAACAAAAAAGAGGCTGGGGGTGTGGCTCAGTGGATAAGCACCCCTGGGCTCAATCCCCAGAACCCAAATAAATTTTAAAAAATTAAATGCTTTAGGGGCAAGTGGCTAAAGACTCTTAAGAGCAGCACCAAGTCACGTGACCCAAAGGAGCCGTGGCTCCAAGTCCATTAGGGACAACTAGCGGGAGTCATTCACTTAGCTGAGAGGCCAAAGGGGTTAGCAGGGGAGACTTCTCTGGGGAGAAACTGCCTCAACTAAACATTAGCAAACGAAAGCTTCGGCAGCGTCCGAAGGTCAGACCCTGCGCTGTCCCGCCAGCGCTGGTCATTTGCTTGTGTATTGTACTCGCAACCTGAGGGCAAAGTTGTGCAGCAGTAGAGGAACGTGGCAAACTCGTTCCTCTAACTTGAAAGGAATTAGCGCGCGCGCGCGCG